CTCATGGACGAATAACTGAAAGTCCTTTGTCAGATCTGGGAGTCCCAAAGCCGGAGATTTCATTAACGCCTCTTTCAGTTTCTTAAAGGCCTCTTTCTGTGGTTTGTTCCAAACAAAAACAGGTGATTTTTTTGGGCCTCATACAGGGGTTTAGCAATGAGTCCATAGTCCATTATCCATACTCTGCACCACCCTGCCATACCCAAAAACGTTCTTAACTCATGTAGGTTGCACAGTTCTGGAATGGCACAAATTGCCTCTATGCGATTTATTCCCAGCTTTCACTGCCCTTGTGAAATTTCACATCCTAAGTACAACACAGTCGTGCATGCAGTTTGCACCTTTTCTTCTGAGTCCTTATACCCGTTCAGGCCTAGTTGGTTTAAGATTTCAATAGTCACCTTTATGCATAACGATTTTTGTTCTGTTGCAATAAAGATGTCATCTATGTATTGCAATAAGAGATATTGCGATCTCGGTACCTGTACCTTTCCTTGAGTGGTCCATGCCTCCAGTTCCTTAGCCAATTGGTTTCCAAATAGGGTCGGACTGTTCTTGAATCCCTGTGGAAGTCTGGTCCTTGTCAATTGTGTTTTCCGTCCATTCTGTGGATTTTCCCATTCAAATGCAAACAGTTTCCTGCTACTTTTGTCAAGGGGAATGCAGAAGAAGGCATCCTTTAAATCAATTACTGTAAACCATTTATATTTTTCCTTCACAGATGTTAGCAATGTATAAGGGTTTGCCACCACCGGGTGGATGTCTTTTGTTATTTCATTTATTGCCCTCAGATCCTGTACTAAACTATATTCACCATTTGGTTTTCTTACTGAAAAAAATTGGAGTGTTATATTCTGATTCACATTCTTCCAAAATTCAATATTTTAAAAATTTCTCAATTGTTTTTAAAATCCCATATCTTGCTTCTAGCTTCAGTGGATACTGTTTAATTCTTACTGGCCTAACCCCATCCTTTAGCTCCACTATTACTGGTTGAGTTGCTTTTGATTTTCCCAGGATTTCTGTTTCCCAAACTACCGGTATTACAGCCTCTTCTACCTCCTTTGGGATTTGAGCAATAGGCTTTTTCTTTAAGAACCAAAATCTGCCCTGCTTTTGATTCAGGGATTTGCACTATTAATTCACCATTCTCAAAAATGATCATTGCATCCAATTTGGCCAATAAGTCCAGTCCTAAAAGGGGAATGGGGCATTCAGCTACATATAGAAATTCATGTGGTAATTCCTTCCCTCTAAATCGCAGATCTAGGGGCTGCAAGAATGGCTGTATTTCCTCCTTCCCTGTGGCTCCCACAATTGTCGTAGTTCTTTCCCCTAACCTCCGTGTAAATCATTTAAAACTGAATAGGTAGCCCCTGTGTCTATTAAAACTTCACTTCTTTTTCTCCCAATTGGATTTTGAGTTTTCATAATCATTTTCATTACATGGGCTACTTATCAGGGTTTTCTCTATACATTCCTGCTGATTGCTTCCAGATGACTAAATCTCCAGGCGAGAAGGGTACCTTAACATACACCGGGCCCTCAGCTCCCGCCCCCTGTCTTAAAGGCACCAGCACTGCTTTAGGTACCTGGATTCACATTTTTCCTTCCCAATTTCCCCTCCAGCAAGTTCTGTGTGAAACCAGAGTAGCGGAGAGGGTTGCCCTCTGATCTTCCCTACGCTGGCAACTTCCCATGCTTTCAAGATCACTATCACTCTCTTCCTCACTGTCATCTTCTCCCCCCCCCTTCCTCCATTCGAAGCCGGTGGGGCTGATGGGGTCACTACTAAATACAGACTTTCAATGTCCCTCTGGTGTTGTAAACTATTGTCTACAGCAAGGCATTGCATATACCTTTTTGGTAACACATCCCTTATACTGTTGATTAGCATTTACCTTCACATCCATTATTCCACAGGATTTTATTATTTATTTTTTATTTTTTTGCCACTCATCATTATTTCTTAAAGCAAAGAACAGATAAACATATGGTACCTCATCCCATTTTCCTTCCCTTTTACAAAACAACATCAGCTGCAATATAGTATTGTACTGCAGAGTCCCATTTTCAGGCCACTTTTCCTGATCCCCTAGTTCATACTGTGTCCACCAAACATTACAATAATCAATCAATTTACTTTTCTGCATACTTTGCCCAAATCCCCCTTCCTTCCAATGGCTTAGCAGATAGCCTAGTGGAGAGGACTTGGGAATCGGTGGCATCTTGTGAGTACAAAGGAGTTTCCTTTTGTACCACAGATCCTAAGGAAAACAGGTTTCCTTTACACCAATAAGTTACAACACTTATTTAAACCGATGTTGTTCCTGCAACATAAATACCAATACCGAACCACGTTTGCCGAACCTGCAGAGCTGTCGCTACTGTCTAACGGACGGCGCCTAGGCTTTTGCCCCGAGAGCTCTCTAGCCCCAACCAAGCGCAGCTTTCTCCACGTCTAACAGGCAGGCTTTACTACTAGCCCAGCCACACACACAGCTTTTTGCTGCGTGTAACAGGCAGGCTTTTACCAGACCTTTACCAAAGGTCAATACCATACATTTACTAGAAATCGGTACCGTAACCCAGATCAAAAGCACCTTTCTTACTGTATCAGAGGTCCGTCGTGAGCAGCGGAGGTCGGTCGCGGTTGATGGCTCCCCGAGAATCTCTCGGTGCCGGCTGGAGCAGGATCGAAATGCGATCCGCCTCAGCAATGCCCGCGAGGTCCCATCTGGGTCGCCAAAATGTTAGTGTCGAGACAAACACATAACCACCGGGATGGTTATATGAGGTGCTTTATTGAGGCACCGGGAACCAGGGGTACGCACCCAAATCTGGTTCCGACTCCCATCACATCGCGTTCGCAATTTATACACTAAAAATTTCGTAATACGTATTCAACAGAGATTACACCATTGACTAATACATATGCATCAAGGATTGCTACATCAGTCTATTACGACATCAGCCTCCTTTGCGCTTGCGCAGCCCCCTCTGGTGGTCGCCCCGATGAAGTAAGGAGTCTTCCTCAGATGAAGTTTGAAGTCTTCCTCAGGTTGTCCTCTTCACCTTTTCTCTACTTGGCTAGGTCCCAATCGTCTTGTGGACGTTAGCATTCTCTTATCTTCACCAGGATGCTTCTGGTATGCCCTTTTTGGCTATCTTAAACTTAGGTTCTGCTTGGGTAGAGTTTTACAATACATACACCCATACTCCACTCACCATATGCAGTTATGTTAGCTCTTGCTACCAAGACTACCATTGTAACATTTAGTTATAGAGTAACTATGATACAAAACGGCAAAGTTACAACATCTTCTAATATACAAAGCCTCACTATTGATTTATAGATTTCTCAGATATAATCATTTTACTATTTTATATGATTATTTTATTGTAAAAACTTCACCCTCTCTAACACCCCGAGGGGCCTGTTTTGGGCACCCAGGGGGTACCTTTTCTCATCATCTCCTATGAGTTGGGGACACCAAAGACTCCCCCAGAAGCTGACTTTAACTCCCCCCACGCCTTTTCCCACTCTTATGTTGGAAGAAGGACAAGCTGTGGCCAAATCCAACCATTATAAGCCACCAGTGTCGTTCCCCTTCTAATAAATGTCACTTGTTGTGGCATCCCCTTGCTCCTTCCTTTGGCATGGCTTTGAATGTCCCCACTGCTGTGTCACCCCCTTCCATGTCATCGTGTCGTTCCCCCCCCCCCAATTCCTCATCCATATGGGAAAAGCATTGCCTCCACAGTGGGAGTTCCACAACAGCCCCACCAGCTTGAGGGGTGGGGCTTGGGGTGACCCAGAGCTCCCCAGCACATGGAGCTGTTGGAGCGAGTCCAGAGGAGGCCACGGAGCTGCTGCGAGGGCTGGAGCCGATCTGCTCTGGCTTCAGGCTGAGACAGCTGTGCTGGGGCAGCCTGGAGAAGGGCTTTGGACAAGGGATGGGGGCACAGGACAAGGGGGAATGGCTTCAACCTGCCAGAGGGGAGACTGAGATGGAACATTGGGAAGAACGCTGCTTCCATCCCAGCTCATTGCGGGATTCGACGTCCTGCGGTCGGGCGCTAGGGCCCAGCGGAGCGGGGTGGGCGGAGCCGAAGTGAGGCTGGGTCCGACCTGATTGAAGCCCGCGGCGCCCCCCGAGGCTGGTCCAGGACGGGAAAGCCGGACCTGAGTGAAACCTGCGCGTTGATTCCGTCGCATCCCGCTTCTACAGAAACCGGCCGGAATTGCCCCCAAACCCACCCAAAGTGCCCCAAACACAGCCAAAACCAGCTTGAATTGCCCCCAAAGAGCAAAAACCAACCCACATTGACCCCGAACTGCCCCCGTGTTCAAAATGTCCCTAAAAGCAGCCAGAAAGGCCCCAAACCCACCCCAAGCACCCCCTAACCTACCCAAATTGCCCTCAAAAAGCCTGAAATACCCCAAATTGCCCTCAAAAAGCCTGAAAGTGTCCCATAATAGCCGAAAACAGACTGGAATGCCCCGAAACTGCACAAAACCCCACCCAAATTGCCCCAAATCAGCTCAAATGACTCCAAAAGTTGCCTTAATTGTCCTAAGACAGCCCCCAAATAGCCCCAAATTCCCCAAAGCAGCTCCAAATATCCCCAAACTGCTGGAATTACCTCCTATTTTGCACAAACAGCCCAAATTGGCCCAAACTCAGCTCCAAACCTTCCAGAAAAGCCCCCAAACCACCTTGTAATGCCCCCAAACTCCCCAAATTACCCCCAAACCACCAGATCCCAAAGGGCAAACATCCATGCCCTGCTCCTAAGCCTAAGGAGCCAGGACAGAAAGCTGGTGCTGGGAATCACCTACACACGGTGAGCTCTGGAATGGTGCCACCACCGTGGTAATCCACCCTGGCTTTGCCACCTACACCTCATGCTGTGAACACCCCATGGCAGCACCCTGGGGACACCCCCAGCACTACAACAGCCCCGTGGCCCCTCAAGACCCCAGGAAGAGGCAGGCATGGGTCCAAGCAGGTTTACTGGGGTTCCCCCACGGGGTCCCTAAAGGTTGCTGAATGGGACACCCTCGGGGGCCTTCTTCTCCATGGCTGCCTGAGCTGCAGTGACCACATCCTGGCTCTGCAGCATTCCCATGTTCCAGGTGGCCTGCGGATGGGATGGAGACAGGAGGGGGCACCCTTGGGAGTGGGACACCCTTGGGAATGGTGACAGGATGCCCTTGGGGACAGGAATGGGATGCCAATGGCAAGGGGGACAGGGACAGGACACGCTTGGGAACAGGACACCTTTAGGAATGGCATGCCAATGGGGACAGGACACCCTCAGGCATGGGGACAATGGGGACAGGAGACCCGTGGAGATGAAGATGGGACGTGGGATGGCAACAGCACTGAGCTGGGGCTGTTGTGGTTGCCTGGGGCTGACGCCAACCCATGGAGGGGTGACCCATCCCCACAGGGGTAACCCATCCTCCTCACCATGTAGCGCAGGCTCTCGGGCACAGAGTGGTCCCGGGCGTAGAGCAGGTTCTCTTTGGTGCCCTGCACAGCCACGGGGCTACGGGCAGCGATGGCCTCGGCCACTGCTATGGCCGCCTGCACCACAGAGCCCTTGTCCGGGAACACGCGGCTGCACGGGGGGGGGACATCGGGACATGGAGGACACTGAGGGGCACCCAGGGGACACCCAGGGGCCAGCCTGGGGCTGCAGTACCTCACCAGCCCACAGCTCTGCGCCTCGGGGGCCATCATCTTGCGGGCGGTGAAGGCCAGTTCGTTGACCAGGCTTGTTGGGAAGGAAAAGGGCTTGTGAGGTGACGGGGGGGAACCCTTCTCTTGGTGTCCCCACGTCCCCCCACTTTGGTGTCCCCACAACTCACCTCTGGCTGCCCACAATCTTGGGGAGACGCTGCAGGGTGCCCACGTCGGCTGCCAACCCAATGTCCACCTCCTGCAGGGATGGAGATGGGAGGGGCCATGTGAAGGGACACAGAAGGGGCCACAGGGGCATCTGAGGGGTCTTGGGGACACCCAAGGAAACACCAAGAGACCCGATGGGCCTATTGTCCACCACTGGGGCCCCACAAACCCACCTTCACCTGGAACCAGGCATCCTGGCTGCAGTACCGGATGTCACAGGCACAGATGAGGTCGACTCCTGGCACGAAGCAGCCCATGAGTCGGTGTCACAGAGGGATCCCATTGTCCCCCCATCCCACCCCAACTGACCTGCACCGACGCAGGCGCCGTGCACAGCCACGATCACCGGCTTGGGGCACTGTGGGACACACATGGGTGACAGGGGGACACCCCCAGATCCATCCAACCATCATCCAGCCACCATCCCTCCCTCCTTGCCACCTTTTCCAGCACAGAGAAGCTCTCCTGGAAGGCGCAGATTTTCCTCCGCAGGTTCCAGGCCTTCCTGGCCGGGTCATCACCCTCCACCATCAGGAGCTCACTGCCCATCTCCACCAGGTCAATCCCTGTTGGGGACACAGGCTCACCCCCAGGAGCTGGGAACAGATACCCCACAGCTCCCCCCAAGGGGGAAGACGCCGCCAAACGCCCCCTAGATGAGGTCAGGGAACCCTCAACCCCCCCTGATCACAGGCCACTATCAAGCCCCCCCCCCCCCCCCCCCCCCCCCAAAGAGAGCCAAAGGCCTCACCAGCAGTGAAAACCTTCCCTGCCCCGGAGATAACCACAGCGCGGCAGGAGGAGTCCTGGCCGATGGCATGGAAGCATTCCACCATCTCCCTATGGGAATGGGACCATGGTGGGAATGGCACCGGGCCCCCCCCACAGCTCCCAGCCCCCCCAGGCCCCGCGAGCACCTCCAGAAGGCACCGTTCATGGCGTTCCTCTTGTCGGGGCGGTGGAGCTGCACATGCAGGACATGCTCCCGCTCCAACCTCACCTGCAGCGTCTCGAACCCGCGGCGCAGCCGCTCCTGGGCCCCCGCCTCGGTCGCCATGAGCCGGTGTGGCCCTCGCAGCCCCCCCAGCGCTGCACAGGCCCGAATCAGCGCCAGCACTGGGGAGAGCCTGGGGGGTACCGGGGAGGGACCAGGACCCACGGGTAAAGGACTGGGCAAAGTCTCAAACCTGCTAGAAAAGCACTGGGAGACCCTGTGAGATGAACTGGAATCCACTGGAACAGGCCTGGGGCAGCGAGGCCTAGTTAATCATCATCCCAGCATGGGCAATGGTCAAGGCAATGGGGGGGGGGAGGGGGGGGAAATTGAAGGGTTAGGAGGTCTGGGGGAAGCCATAAGGGGGTCTGGGGAGCCTAACGGGGTCCTGGGAGGCCTGGGGGGGGTCTAGAGGGGTTGGGGGACCCTGGGGGGGGTATAGGGGCAGGTTACAGAAGGGTTGGGTGGTATGGGGGCTAAAGGAGGGCCTGGAGGGGTCACAGGAGGGTTGGGGAATGCACTCTGGTGTCAAGGTCAGTGTGAAGGTCACGGGGGGTCACACGAGGCCGGAGGTGTCCCATGGGGTGAGTTGGGGGGGTCATTTAAGGTCAGGCCTCCGACTCACGCGCACCCCGCAGCAGGCGCAGTCCCACCGCCGCCATCAGTCCTCCAACGGGGCCGGAGCAGCGAGACGGGAGGGAGAAGCGCCGGCCGTTTCTGGTCACGTGACGGCAAGCATCCCCTCCTTCTCATTAGCGAGACCGATGTGTTCTATTACTGCCCCCTACCGACGCATCTGGAGACCTCCAAGCCCACACTCTGCATAGCCACCCCAAAACGCACCTTGAATTGCCCAAAATGCCCCCAAATCACCGTAGAAATGGGGGGTAGGGGGGCGACCCCCGCCTCCCGCCCCGAGGCACAGGTTGTTTTCCAAACGAGTTTATTGAAGGGGAATGGGGAGCACACAAACAGCCTTAAAAATGGGGGGGAAGAGGTCGGGGGGCGGAAAAAGGGAAGATCAGCCTTAAAAAAACAAGGGGGGGAAGGGGGGGGGAAGAGACCCCCCCGAGGGGATGGGGGGGTCCTGGGGGTGTTGCAGGCACCCCCCGTTGTTGACGTCCTAGTTAGGAGGCATGCTGGGCGGTGGAGAAGCAGAGCTTGAGCGTGTAGGGGTACGGCCCATCTGTGTGGGGGAGAGAACAGGGGGTTAATGGGGATTGGGGGGAAGGGAGGGGGTTTGAGGTGTATTTGGGGGGGGCTGGGGGGCACTCACTGGGGTTCTTCATCTGGAAGTGGTTGAGGAAGCCGAGGGTCTCGAGGGCGTCGCTCTTGGAGTCCCACTCCAGCAGCCCTGAGGAGCTGCGCTCGCCTGGAAAAGAGGGGGGGCCTAGGTCAGTGACCCCACCATGGCCTGCAGCTCCCCGGGCTGCCCCCCTGCCCCCCCATACTCACTCTTCCCCGAGAAGACCTTGACTGAGGAGGGGCGCTTCACACCCAGCTCATCACAGATCTGGGGAGGGAGAAGAGGAGAAAGGTGAGGAGGAAGAACAAGGGAGGAGGAGAGGGGAAAAGGGGAGAGAAGGGAAAGGAAATGAAGAAAAACAGGGAAGGGAAAAGAAGGAAAGGAAGACAATGAAGAGGAATACAAGAAGGAGAACAAGAACCAAGACAGGAGGAAAAGAGAAGGACAAGGAAGGGAAGAAAAAGAATGGAAGAATAGAGGACAGGGAAGAGAACAAACTGAAGGAAGGACAGGAGCAAAAGAACAAGGAAGAGGAGCAAAAGAAACTGCAGAAGAAAAGGAAGAGGAGGAAGAAAGGGAAGAAGAGAGGAGGAAAAGAGAAGGCCAAGAAGCAAGAAGAAGGATGAGGAAGAGATGAAAAACAGAGAATGAAGAACTCCTGCAAAGGCAGAAGGAAGAGAAGAAAGAGGAAGAAGAGGAAAAGGAGACCCCACCTCATAGAAGTTGTCCTCGGTGACCTCGAGGGGTGCATTGAAGAAGTGCAGGACGTTGCTGGGGTGCTGGATGCGGTTCTTGGCCGCCTGCTCTGGGGTGGAGAAGCGGTTGTTGCGGGAGCCACTGAAGTCCTTGTAGCTGCAGGAGCCGTCCTCCAGCCCGTAGGACTGCCCAGGCATGATGGCCTGCTGCTTGGAGACACTGCCAGGGGTGGGAGGGGGCACGGGGAGGTCAGCATGGCACTGGGGGGGGTACCACAAGCCACCCACCCCAACCAACACCTACCATACGTTGAGCTTCTGCCCAAACATGAAGTTGTTGTTGAGGTGGGTAATGGCCCTGTCCACGGCGTAGCCATCGGCCATCTCCACCATGGCTGCTCCTGGCTTGCTCTTCATGAACTTCACCTGCAAAGGGATGGGGCGCATCAGAAACACCCCCTCGAGACCCCAAACCCCCCGTGGGAGACCCCCAAAACCTCCAAGGCCCCCCCCACTGACCTTCTCAACGTTGCCGTAGAGGCAGAAGATGTTGAACACGCGGTCGCAATTCATCTTGGACTGGTCCAAGCCATAGACCATGAGGACGGGGCTGTCGGCGTGGGGCCCATACTCCGGTGGCGGGGGTGGGGGTGGGGGGTGCCCATACTGGGGACCATAGCGGCTGGGTCCTCGCCGGTGCCCCCCAACTGGAGGGCCCATCCTTCTGCCTTCATAGTGGGGCGGTGGGGGCCCGTAGCCTTCATCGTGGTAGTGCCCATGGTAGCCACCGTGGGGTCCTCCTGCACAGGGAGGAGGTTGGAAATCCCCAGCCCCACCTCTACGGCTCCTCCTTCACAGGGAGGACGTTGGAGCACCCTTGACACCACCTCTGTGGGGTCACCCTGCAAAAGTAGGTTTGAGCCCCTACACGTACCATATTCCGCAGGGTGATCCCCAAGGAGTGGGGGCTGCCGTTGGCGCTTGTTGGGGTTTCCTCCTTGGTCTCCTGTGGGGAGAAGAAGAGGTTATGGGGGGATCTGAGGATGACGGTGGGCCCCAGCACCGCTCCCAAAGGTGCTGCGGACCCCCCCTCCAGCCATCAACAGCCCCAGGGTGGCTTTTGCGGATCCCCCCCATCTCCAACCAGTGGGGATGGAGAGTGAGGGGGGCCCATACTGGGAGCTGCCCCCCTCCCCAACACCACCATCACCCCCCCGAGGAGCTGTTCCCATCTCCCCCCCTCCCCCAAACTGCCCTATGGAAGTGGGGGTCCAGCGAGGCCCCATTGGGATACTGCTCATTAATAGACAATTAAGGTACAGAAAGGAGAATAAAGGACATGAATTACTGCTAATTAAGTCATTAAAGTGGCAAAAACACCTCCCGACCCCCCCGAAACAAGGGGGGGTTCAGGCAGCAAAGCAACAGCAGAACCAGCTTCAAGGAGCCAGCACGGCCCAAGGCATCGACCACGACCACGGCACCGATCCAGTTGCTCTTCTTGTTCCCTTCCCGCTTCCGTAGAGGTTTATTCCCAGTTGGATACAAAGCTTGGGGAAAGGGGGGGGTTGGGGAGCTACTTACAGCATAGAGGGGGGGGGGTTACAATAGTACAAGGTCCAGTTTTGGCACATGGAATGATCTCGCTGTCTTTCTCTTACCCTTGGACGCTTCAAGAGTTAGGACAGTTGGGAAAGATGGGCGTCCCACCAAACAAACACTGCGACCCTGCATCACATGGTTTCAGAGTCACAAACACAGGTCCAAAGGCACCAAACCCGCCACAATTCCACTTTAAAAAAGAGAAAAAAACACTCTTTTTTCTTAGCAAAAAAACGTTAAGTCTCGCTGCTGGTTTGTTTGCTCCTCAGGAGGTACCAAAGGAGGCCACAAAGGGGTGGTGAGAAGTGTGTCCCTCCATTCCTGCCACTGTGTGGTGCGTCGGGCTCTGTGGAGCTCTGTCCCGTGTGCGTGTCTCCTCTGAGCATGGACAATGTGTCTCGGCTCGAGCCAGACCCAGCTCCAGCCTCCTACGGGCTTGTGTGTGATGTTTTTGGGTTGAGTTTTGCCTTAAGCTGGGATTTGGGTTGGGGCTAGTTTTGGTGTTCTCCGCTTGGCGCTGATGTGGTGGCACTTGGCTGCAGGAGAGTCCTTGGATGGTGGTTGTGTCCTTGCAATGAGCTCATGGTGCTGCTTGGGGTGGTTTTTTTTTTGCTGGCTGCTGCGTGTTTCCTCCACTTTGGTTTTGTTCCTACACTTGTGTGGTGTGAGCAGGAGGAGGAGGAAGGTGGAGGAAGGAATGTGCGGAAGAAGGTGACGCCCGCTCGGGTTTTCCGCTGGTGTACGTGCAAAAGGACTGCTCGGAGCTGGGAAAGGCCACGTTATGGCATCCCACCACCCAGCCCAAGAGCCCCCCCCCAGCTCCACACACCCTACACAACACGAAGAAGGAGGGGAAGCTGCCCCTCATGACCCTCCTTCAAGCACTCTTCCAAAAGCGGTCGGCGAATCCCAATCCCACCATCCTGAACATCCCACCCCAAGTCCCCAACCCACCCCAGTCCCCCCGTCAAAGGCACCCGACGCTCACACCCCAGCTTCAGAACACAAACAGGGGTTCTTCGCCTTCCCATCACCCCCCAAAAAGCACTGACCCAACGTGGAGGCCACCAACAGCCAACCCAGCATGGAGGCATCAACTCCAAAGGGGACTATCCAGGGGCATGGGGGTCTTTTCCCACCCCTTCCATAAGATCAAGGGAGCTGGTGTCTCCCTTCTGATTCTACAGGGGCTGGGAATGCCCATAGTGAAGGCAAGAACATTCCCAACTCACCCCATAACTCCACTTTAGGTAATTCCAGTTGGGAACATGAAGCCCACAAAGACTCGGGGAGTAGGGCAGACACAAGGAAGCAAAAGCACTTCCCACCCGCATCCCCCCCAGCCTCACAAAACCCCTTCAACCCCACATATTGGCAGTGCAGATGCAACCCCCTCCTGACGTCCATCACCAAGGAACGCACAGAACGAACCCAGAAGACACAGAAACACCTCCCCACAGCCGCCGCCGCGCAGTTTTCCACCTCCATTCACCCCCTCCCCGGCGAGCCCGGGGCCAGCTCCGGATGTAGGGATGGGCCATGAGGTGTGGTGGGTTGTGGTGCCCGAGTGTAGGTGCACAAGGGGCTTCACTGGCCATTACCTTGTCCGCTGAGGTTGGGGTTGGTGTAGTCCCAGGTGTCTTGGTCATTCTTGAACACGTTGAGGCGCGTGGGCTGCAGGAGATGGAGGAAGTGGGGATGAAGCAGTGTCCGGGGGGTGCTGTCCCCCCCTCAACGGGTACAGTGTCCCCCCACGTGGGTGCTTGTCATCGGGGGGTCAGCTCTTACCTTGGCATACTCGATTTTCAGGGTACAACACCCCGAGTAGATGTCGGCGCCGTTGAGGGACGCTTTGGCGCGTTGGGCGCTCTGCACCGAGTCAAACGTGGAGGGGAGGGTTAAGGAGGTTTGTGGCCACCAAAGAGGGTTTCAGGTTTCGTTATCTGGGATCTCTGACTGCTCTCAGAGCCAGAGCCAAAGCAACCCCCAGCAGGTAAAGGCAGCCCCGAGGCAGCTCCAGAGCCCCTGGAGCACGGAAGGATATTCCACCATGGCCTGGACACCGTTTTTCCTGAAGATAACAATTCTCTGCACAGGACCACAGGGGTTACAGATGGTGTAGAGCACGTCCTGGGAGGGGGGACAGGGGAGGAGGTGTGAGGAACCCGGGTGAGGCACCATGGGAGCCCCTCCAAAGCAGGAGAGAGCATGGAACGGTTTGGG